ACGTGTGCCGGAGTCTTGTCCCGCCGCATCGATTATGTCCTGTGTTCTACAATTGTTTGTCTGCCTGCCGTTTTGCAGGAACCGTGCCAATGCCGTGGGGCACCCATGCAGATTTAAGCTCTGACATATTGGCCACGCCTCGTGCCATAATGGTCTGGAAGGCCATGCGGCCGAAACTCCTTCCTGTTAAGGGCATTGCAGCACCAGTGGCTCCTTGGGCGCACTTCCTTGTGCAGGCGCGACTCCTCAAGCATCGCCGCCCTGCGTTCTTTGAGGCTAACTTTCCTCGGGCCGCTTTGCTGCGTCTGCACCGCGACAATTCGGGCGTCTCTGTTGCCCTAGGGAACAGTCTTTCCTGGTGGGTCCTCGCTCTCGAGTTGGAGGCGTTCTCCAAGTTGGGCTTTTCCCAGGAAGATGTGTTTCAGTATGTTGGGCGTGGCCAACAACCCAGGTTGCGTGAGGTTCCTCTGATAGCTGCTCAGGTCGAGGGCCCGCGCCTCTCCGATCGAGCCGCTCGCATGTGGCAAGCATCATTTGTACAGCTGAAATTTCTCATGAAACTCGTGCCTTCTAATTCTGACCCTACCCTTCCTCCTCAGCCTGCGTTGGCTCACGCTGCGCAGTTTCGGTCTACCCTGGCTTGGCTCTCCCAGCAGGTGCCCCCGGAGCCTTCGGACCCTCGCAATGCGAAGCAGGATGGGCTTTTTAATTTGTGGTCGGCCCGTTTTAAGAATATCGCCTCCACTCCCTACGACGTCTCCTCCAGGTGGTGTCGTCGTCCCCTCTTCCGCCGTCCTGCGTCGCTCCTCTGCCTGCTCTCTCCCCCCTGCTCGTCCCTCGGGCGGTCGCCCGGGCTTCGCCCTCCTCTCCTCTTTCCGGCGTCGTGTCGCTCGCTCTCCTCCCTCCCCCGGCTCCGGGTTCGTCCTGGCCCCCGGGTGTCGTTCCCTCCTCTGCCTCCTGCTGCCGCTGCTCTCCCGGGTCGTCCACCGAGTGGGGTTTTTGGCGGGTCGGGCACGGAAGCGTAGATCTTTAGAGAGTCCCTGCGCATGGAGCCGGAGCCGGCGACGATGGCTATGCTTTGCTTCTCGCATTGTCGACGCCAGCGTACTGCTGTATATACTCATGCATGCGATCTGCAACCAATGTGCCGTCTAGGCACGGTTCACTTGACTTGACTTGACTCCCTACGACGGGCTGGAGGACCTGCTCGAGGAATCACGCCAGATGGCTGATCAGTCGCACCGCGAGGCCCTCAAGGCGCAAAACGCATCGTGGCAGGCATGGTTGAAATCTGCCCTGTATCGCAGCGCAGGCCCGGCGCACCGATTGCTCCGCACGCCAGTCGACCCACTCCCTCCTGACAAAATTGGCGTCGACGGCCCGTGTGCTTCTCTTGACCAGATGCTGGATTTCGAAGCCGCCGCTTGGTCGGCCATCTGGCAGCAGCACAGCCTTGAGGGCGCTAGAGCGGCGTTAGCTGACCTGCGTAAGCGTGCCAGGGTGTCTCCGCGTTTGCCACCGATAAGTATGCACGCGCTGGAAAGAGCCCTTGCTTCGATGCCGGGCGCTAGGGGACAAGGTTTGGATCACCTGGGGCCCTGCGTGGTCAAGGAAGCCAGCCTGGAAGCTAAGCAACATTTGATTTACATGTTGCATAGCATTGAGGAGCAGTGTACATTCCTTTTCCAGCAGTTGTTCGCCCTCATTGCTTTGATTCCTAAGCCTGACGGGGGTAAGAGACCTATCGCTCTTCTCGGCTTCGTCTATTCCCCCCACCTCCGCATTAGGAAACCCCTTATCACCCAGTGGGACCGTGGAGCCCATGGGCCTTGGGGCGCCACGGTGGGAGGTTCCGCGGATTTTGCAGGCTGGGTAGACGAGCTTGAAACTGAGCTCGCCCTCCACGCAGGTTTTCCGGTAGGCGGCCTTTTGCTGGATGTGAAGGAATACTACGATCAGGCTTGCTTAGAAGATTTGGTCGAGGCAGCAGTTGCTCTCGACTATCCTCTCCGCCTCCTTGCCCTAGCTATCGACCTTTATTCGGGCGTCCGTCGCGTTTCCTTGGATGGCGCGGTGCACCCCGGGATCTTAGCTCATGGAGGCATGCTCGCTGGTTGCGGCCAGGCTACTCCTCTTGCGCGTGCGCACCTCCATGAGCCCCTCAGGTGTGCTTACAGCTCTATCTCAGGCCTCCGCCTTCGCGAGTGAGTGGACGATGTTTCTGCCGGGCCCTTCGGCACGCATTATAGTATTTCGGCACCGTTTCCCACCTTGCTTCGAGCCCTCCTGGTCAGTCTGAAACGTCGCCGTTGTCAGCTGGCCGCTGATAAGTCTCATCTGTTGGCGTCGTCGCCAGAGCTTCGCTCAGAGCTTCTGCTGCTGCCGTCGCCGAGGGGCGTGAATTCGCGGTTTCCTTAGCCGCCAGGGACCCGGGGCACGAAGCGGCCCTCGGCGCGCGCCGCGCGGTAGCAGTTCGCAGGGAGAGGTGTTCGAAGGGCAGGCGCGCTACGTGTAGGATTTCCCAGTTTTCCAGAACAAATCGCAGCGCTTCCAAACGGTTTTACCCGAATGCTTTTGCTAAGGCCATGTGGGCCCCTGAGCTCCAGGGAGTTCCCCCCTCAATGTTGCGAGGGCTCAGAAGCATGGCCCGGGCTGCTCGCAAGAGACCCCAGAAGGGTGCTTGTGCTGCATCTGCTGTTCGGCTCACCTTTGGTCTGGGGCAAGACCCAGTGCAGCTGTATACTCGCAAGATTGTTAGGTCCTGGTTCTCACGCATTGCAGGCAACCAGAAGCTTCTTGAGCGTTTGGCTCCATTCTGGGATGCCTCGCTCGAGAAGGTTCGTCGAGGCCGGGCTCGGGTCCGAGGTCCGATGGCTGCCTTTCAGGCCTCCTTGCTCGCCACTGGGTGGGCTTGCCCCTCTCTCTTTTTTTGGGGTCTCCCCTTCTGGCGACTCATGGGAGATGAAAACGGGCGGTCGAGGACCCTTGGGGCCCCTTTTGGAATCCTTCGACGAATCGATCGACGCCCTGCAGTGGAACCAGGCAGCTGAACATCTCGACGGCAAAGGAATCCAGGGCCCGGTTTCGCTTTTCCACGTTTGGGAGCTCCTGGCCTCTCTTGAGAAGGAAGGCCGTCGAGATGTGAATTCCATGGTCAGGTTGATCGCTGCCGGCGGCTACTGGGCGGAGGAAAAAAGGCATTCTGAGCAGATGGCCCCTGACCCCCTCTGCCGCCGCTGCAAGCGTGACCCTGAATCTTCATCTCATCGCTTCTGGTCTTGCATGTGCCACGATAGCTGTACAGTTCCAGCTGTTGCCGATTCTCAGTACTTGCGCCATGCAGCGCTCCAGGAAGTGTCAGATTTCCAATGCTTTTGGGTCCGGGGGCTCATTCCCCTCTCCTGGTTTCGGTTGCCGCCTCTCCCCGATTCGAGGTTGCTCCGTGGCGTTCGCGTGCCTGGGCCCCTCGTGCCTAGATCTCTCCCCCAGGGATTGTACGGCACCGATGGGTCGGGATGCCCTTTCTCTAAGCTGCCTGTGCTCAGGCGCGTGGCTTTCTCTTTCGTCAGGATGGTCCCAGGGTCTGATTTTGACTGGGAATGTGCTGTTACGGGAGTTCTGGACTCTAAGAGGCAGACTGTTTTACGTGCAGAGCTTGCGGCCGTCGTTGAGTGTCTGAGGCTGGTCGACACTTCCCAAGATCTGCACGTGGTCCGTGATCATTATAACATAGTCCAGGCTTTCTTTTCAGGCAAGGCCCATTCTTCTAAGCTGGCAAATTATGACCTGTGGTGGGAGTTCTGGGAGCTGCTCGACTCTCGAACTGCCTCCTTCCGCCTCTCTCATGTTCCGTCTCACTTGCTTGAAAACCCCGTGAAGTTTGCGCGCTTCGGTGATTCAGCTAATTGGGACCATGTCGTCTTGAATGCCCTCGCAGATTCGTTGGCTGACGCAAGAGCGGAAGAGTGCCAGGTTCCAGCGGATGTTGTCCGCGATCGTAACGATTTAGTTCAGCAGGCTTGTGCAATTCTTAAGCGCAATGCGTGTATCATCCTTGAGTGTGCCGCTCTTAAGGTGGAGCCAGACCGACGTTTGAACAAGCAGCCCATTGACTTTGTGCTAAGGCGCCGCAGGTGGATCGAGTCAGATGTTCGGTCCAGCTCTCACCATTGGTCGCTCTCTGAAGGTGTGTGGTCTTGTTCGCCTTGCCAGGGCCAGGTCAAGGACACCGCCCCCTCTCTGCGCGCTCGCCTTGCTCCCACCTGCCTCGCGACCTTGGAGGGAGGAGCGGGGCTGTGTGTGCATGAGCGTGTGCGTGAGGGCGGGGAGGGGGGAAAATCTTCGAAGAAATGGGCCCGTCCAGGCAGGCAGCTTCCGCCTCGAGACGAGTCCCTGTGGCGGTCCCTTCGCTTGGACCCCATGCCAAATCGAATTTCTCCTTGGATTTCCGGCAAGCCTGTGTACCCCACGCACGTGCTGTGGCGTAAGGCTTCCTTTTACTTTTGTGGCGAGTGCGGGTCTTGGGCCAACAGATATCCCGGTGTTTTCTTGTGGGGTCCGTGCCCTGCCGTCACGATCGGACCGCATGCTGAAACCAAGGCGCGGTTGGAAATCTTGCAGAGGATTTGTAAAGGCCTTCCTCCAGCCAAGACTGTCGCATCTTGGGCTGATGCTTAAATTTTCTTCCCTAGCGGCCAGTCCCTGGCAGGTTCTCTGCCCTTGGAGCCTGGGTGTTAGCGGTGCACTGTAAACAATCCTCCTCCTCCTCCTCCTCCTCCTCCTCCTCCTCCGCCTCGAGCCCCCTCCTCCGCCTCGAGCCCCCTCCTCCTCCTCCTCCGCCTCGAGCCCCCTCAGGAGCTCAGCGCGGGCGCAGGAGGGCCGACGCTCCCCATGGCAGGTCGAGGCGGCGGAGGAGGCGGAGGGGGAGGGCGAGCCGCAGAGCACTGCAGAAGAGAACGACAGGCGCCGAAGCCGAGGCGGACGGTGAGGCGCGGGCGCGCCTGCTGGGGTAGCCGGCCCCGTTGCGGCAGACGCCGCCGATGAGCCTCGCGCACGCCGTGGCCGTGCTGGCGGTGACCTCGCCGCGTGGGGGGGGGGGGGGCGGGCGTGCGTGCGCAGCGGGCGGCGCCATGCCCGCCCCCGACGACGACGACGACGACGACGACGACGACGACGACGACGACGAAGCCGACGACGATGACTGGCGCCGCGACCGCGGCCACGGCGCGCGCGCTCGCGGAGCACGGCTCCCCGGGCGCACGGGGCGTCGGTTTTGTGGCCTCGTCGTCCTGGCGCGCGGAGGGCCGCGCCTCCCTGCTGTCGGCTGTGGTTGAAGGGGCCCCAGGACACACAAATAAATACACACAAGTAAAATAATCCCCCATATTTTCCTATATTTTCTGGGTTTCTGCCTTCCCCCCCACTTCCCATATTTTCCCAATATTTTCCTGGGAAATCGCCGATGAATTGTGTCTGTGTGTTTTTTCCCCTCCTGAGTGGTGCCGCCCTGGCAGGCGTCGGGCCCTCGGGCCGACGGCCCGCCTCCAGGACGCAAGAGGGCGCGTTGTCCCTCGCTCGCTCGGCGGGGGCCCGTCGGCGCCAAGGCGGCCCCCGCGCGCGCGAGCCTGCCGAGGGGCGGCGCGGGGCACGGCCGCGGCGGAGAGCAACGGCGCGGCGGAGCTGCGCCGCGGCACGCTGGCGGCCGGAAAAGAAACGCCGCAACCTGGCGGCAGCACCCAGACCCCTCGAGCAGGGACTGGCGGGTACGGGGAGGAGAAAGAGGAGGAAGGAGGGCGGAGAAGGACGATGAGGCTGATGATGATGATGATGATGATGATGATGATGATGAGGAGGAGGAGGAGGAGGAGGAGGAGGAGGCGGAGGAGGAGGAGGAGGAAGAAGAGGAGGGAGAGGAGGAGGAGGTGGAGGAGGAGGGAGGAGGGGGACGAGGAGGAGGAGGAGGAGGAGGAGGAGGAGGAGGAGGAGAAACAACGTAACCGTGGGCCGCGTCGACGCCAGCCAACTGGGCCGCAGGACGGGAGCGACGCGAGGAAGAAAACTGAAGGGAAGGGGAGAAGAGACGAGAAAAGACGCGTATGAGGAGGGAGGGGAGGCGAGGAGGGATTGGAGAAGGGAGTAGGAGGGAATCGGAGGGAGGAGGAGGATGCGAGGATGAGGAGGAGGACGAGGAGGATGAGGAGGAGGAGGTCGAGGAGGAGGCGGAGGAGGAGGAGGAGGAGGAGGTCGAGGAGGGAGGAGGAGGAGGAGGAGGAGGAGGAGGGGAGGAGGAGGAGAGGAGAAGGGGAGGAGGGGGTGGAGGAGGGGGAGGAGGACGAGGAGGAGGACCGCGGGCCGCTGGCGTGCAGGGGCGGGGCTGGCCCGGCGGCCTCGGGCTCCGTCGCCTTGCCGTCGAACCACCTGGCGGGGCCGCGGCGCGGGGGCACCCCTGGCGGGACGCACGCGCGAGCGCCACTTCGGGGGCGGCCAGGAGGGCGGCGTTCAAGAGGGGGGGGGCGCAAACCATGGCCGGCGGCATGTGCGCGGCCCTTGGGGAGGGGCCAGGGACGCAATGAAACGAGAAGGGGCGCCATGAAATCTGGGGAAATATCATGGCCCACGCCATGATATCCACCCCCCCCCAGTCATCACCCCCCTCTTTGCCGCCCCCGATCACTGTAAGGCGGCCGGACCTAGAAACGCAGCCGGGCTGCTGAACCAAGGAACGCCAGACAAGCAACGAAGCCCCTTCTGGCCCCACGAGCGCCTGGGTGCACGAGGGCCAGAGATGAAGCTTGCATTCGAAACGGTAGCGCGACTTCTGTTGGTGGGTGGGCGGGTGGGCGGGTTCGCGCCAGCCAAAGAACACGAGTTATGTTCGTGATGTTGGGTTTTTCAAGAGCAGCGTCCTTCCCTGGTCGTTCCTCGCAGTACGAGGACTACGACCAATGGAACGACCAGAGGGACAGCGGGCCCCTTCCGAGCCCGAAGTGGTCCTCCTCTCAGCGTCCAGGCTGTGCCCGCTGCCCCAGGCCTGGCCCATGCTGAGCCCAGGGTTAGGTCGGACATGTCCTCCTGCGGGCGGATTTTGATCGAAAACTAAAAACAAATCAAGCCATATTCAAGAACAGTCGAGGATAGTAGAGAAGCCGTCCCCAGACTATTTCTTTGTATTTTTGAACATCCTTTATGTACAGGGACATGCCCTCCTACAGGCGGATTTTGATCGAAAGTTAAGAACCATCAAACCAGATTCAAAAATAGTCGAAGGCAGCAAAGATAGTAGAGAAACCGTCCCCAGACTCTTTTTGCTGTACTTTTGGAGGTTCCTCATGTCGAGGGACATGCCCACCTTAAGCCCAGGGGCGGTGTGCACGCCCTCCTGGCTCGGCTGGGAAGGCGCGCGCACGCTCCCGGGCCCAAGATGGGCTGGGCCGTGGATACAGCTGGACCTGGGACCTTGGGAGGAGGAGGAGGAGGAGGAGGAGGAGGAGGAGGAGGAGGGGAAGGAGGAGGGGACGGAGGAGGAGGAGGAGGGGAAGGAGTAGAAGTAGGAGGAGGAGGAGGAGGAGGAGGGGAGGAGGAGAAGGAGGGGGAGGAGGGGGAGGGGGAGGAGGAGGACCAGTGTAAACCCAAGAGTCATCAACGATGTTGGAATAAACCCTCCTTCCAAGCTTCCTTTCATAGGCCCGTACAAGGGTTCATTTCTACTGAGGGAACTGCCTCGTTGGAAGACAATCATTTGAAGACTGGGATTCCAGCGCCACGGATCAACCTGAACGTTGCGTCTTGACGATCCAGAACCGTGCCAGAACGTCATTCCTGGGACTTCAACACATCGACTCAACGTAACTGTTGCGCCCTCATAATCCTGAATCCTTCCAAAACACCATTCCCGGTAGGCTGATCATGGGAGTCCGTGGAACTCTTGGACTTTAAAAAATGAATGCGCGCGGCGCTAAGGCGTGACCCACATTTTGAAAAGGAGCCGCCCTCAATCCTTGAAACTTTTGCAAATAATAAAAACGAGTGTGCGCGGCGTTCAAGCGAAAACCGCATTTTGAAAAGGAACCGCCCTCAATCCGTGATGTTTAAGACGAATGTGCGCGGCGCTAAAGCGAGAGCCACATTTTGAAAACCATCCGCCCTCCATCTGTGAAGTTCAAAACTGTTGTCAACGTGCAAGCTTCAGGGTCATAAGTGGTGAGGACGTCCCAAGCGAAACGCCCGGACCGCCCAACAAGCTGGCCTCGGGGTGCGACGGGGAGAAACTGCTTAGAAGGAGAAGGAGGGGCGGAAGGGCAGAGCAGAGCAGAGCAGCACCAGCGATCCGAGGAATCCGGACGCCTCGAGACAACCACCTGCAGGCCCCAAAGGAAAACAAAACGACGGATCAAGTGTTCGAGAGCCGCTCAGGGGGCCCGACAGTCTCTGGGGCCCCGCAGGGGAATTCCGCTGGCAGAGCGAAACCCTCTCAGGGGAACGCCACGAGGGCTCGCCTGTGCACTCCCCCGTCGTCCTCGCCTGTCGTCCGTCCTTCGTCTGCCGTGTCGTGCCACTGGGCTCCGTCATCGCTGGCAAAAAACGATGCGCTCCCCCGCTGTGCGGGGCCGAAGGCAGGATGCCAGGCCCCCGAATCGCACCCCCCACCCCCGCGCGCGGCCGCGGCGAGCCGCAGCGCGCCGCGTCGAGGCTTTTCGCGCGGCCTCCCGCCAAACTGGAGCACCTTCGGGGGCACGTCGGGAGCTCGACCGCCAGGAGCCTTCCCCAAAAAACAGCCCACCTCTGAGACGCTGCTCTTGGGGGGTGGGGGCGGGAACGTCACGCTCTCCATAGCAGAGCCACCGAGGCCCGAGGAAAACCAGAGGCACCCTGGAGGCAGGCACGGTGCTTCTTGGCACGGGCCTCCGCTGCACCCTCCCTCGAGATGCACGAGAGCATCCAACAGACACAGAGAACATCAGGGTACCCTCCCCGAGCCGACCTCGTTCTTATGCCTCGGCCCGGCTGCGTGTGTCGATCCCGCCGCCCTACGTTGCAGCGAGGGCGTGCAGCGCCGCAGCGCCCAGTGTGCATTCTCGCCGAAACTTGCTTGAAGATGATGGATGCCGTTGGACGGGGGCCGGCGAAGGTCAGGTCGGGCCTGTCCCCCCAAAGGCCGATTTTCGGGGAAAAATAAAAATATTGCAAAATGCTCAAAAGTGGGCAGGAAATACACAAAAAAACGTCCCCAGTTTTTTTGTTTTTCTTTGTGTGTGTGTGTGAGAGAAAATTATTGAATGTTCCTCCTGTAGAGGGACAAGCCCGACTTAAGGCAAAGGGGGGGGAGGAGGAGGATGGACGGAGGGAAGCTGGGGCCATCCCCGAAATCCGGGCGCCGCGATCTTGCGACCACGCTCGCGACCTCCCGCGCTTCCTCGCGACGTTGCCGGTTCTCCGTGCCATCGGATCTCAAGCGGGGCGCCGTGGCCAAGGCCATGGAGCCGAGGCGATCGACCTCGCAGCGACAGCCCGCGGCCACTTGAACGGGCCTGGCCCGTGGCCGCTGGAACCGGAGGATGGACGACGAGGCGGAGGAGGACGAGGAGGAGGGAGGAGGGAGGAGGAGGAGGGAGGAGGAGGAGGAGGAGGAGGAGGAGGAGGGGAGGAGGAGGAGGAGGAGGAGGAGGAGGAGGAGGAGGAGGAGGAGGAGGAGGAGGAGGGGGAGGGGAGGAGGAGGAGGGGTGGGAGTAGGAGGAGGACCAGTGCAAGCCTACGACTCACCAGCGATGTTGCAATGTTAGCCAGCGTGTACCCCAAACAGTAGGTTCTTGAAATCTACGTATACGGTGCAATCTACGCGGTGCAATGTATGCGATGCAGCCTATGTAATGCAATATATGCGGTGCCATGTACATATATATATATATATATATATGGTGCAATGTATGCGATGCAACCTATGTAATGCACTCTATGCGGTGCAGTATCTGTGGTGCAATGTATGCGATGCAGCCCATGTGATGCAATGTATGTGTGGTGCAAGGTCAGCGATGCAGCCTATGTAAGACACTCTGTGCGGTGCAATCTGTGCGGTGCAATGTATGCGATGCAACCCGTGCAGTGCAGTCTATGCGGTGCAACGTATACGATGCGGCGACGGGGCGACGGGCGGCACGGGTGGCGACGGGCGGGGATGGCGGCGACAGGCGGCGACGGCGACGGGTGGCGACTGGCGGCGACGGGTGGGGATGGCGGCGACGGGCGGCACGGCAGCGACTTTGCGGTGAGGGTCCCGAGATGGTCAACCGAATCAAGAACCCCTGGTGCTGCAAGCAGTGCCTGGAGAATAAGCCCTCCCTCCAAATTCCCTCCTCAGAGGACCCCATCACAACGTCTTTGCACTTAGGGGAGTGCCCCGTTGGAAGGCAAGCGTCTGGCAATCCCGAACCCTGCCAAAACAGCATTCCTGGGACCGCAACGCAGCGAATCAATATTACTGCTGTGTCCTGACGATCCTGAATCGTGCCAACACACCGTTGATGGAACTTCAACGCCGCGAATCAACGTGACTGTCGCGCCCTGACAGTCCTACATCTTGCCAAAACAAAACTTATGGGACGTCAGCCGTACAAGTATTCTAAACCCTTAAGACGCGTGCGCGCGGCACTAAGGCGAGAACTACATGTTGAAACCGAGCATCCCTCCGCCCCATGAAGCTCTTGAGCACTTTGGAAAAGACTGTGCGCGGCGCCCATGCGAAACTCACATGTTGAAAACTGCCCGCCCTCAAGCCGTGAACCGGTTGCACGTTGTTAAAAACGAGTGTGCGCGTCGTTCAGGCGAAAACCACATTTTGACAACGGGCCCGCCCTCCGTCCGTGAAGCTCTTTCACATGTTGAAAACGAATGTGTGCGGCGCTGAAGCGAGAACGACATTTTGAAAACGCCCCGCCCTCGATCCGGGAACCTGTTGCAAATTTCAATTTCCAGGATCATAAGTGGTAGAAACATCTCAAGCGGCCCGCCTGGCCCGACCTACCAACTCGCTACGGGGTGCGACAGTGGAATTACATTGACGGAGAGAGGGGGGAGGACGAGGAGGAGGAGGAGGAGGAGGAGGAGGAGGAGGAAGAGGAGGAGGAGGAGGAGGAGGAGGAGGACGGGAGGAGGAGGAGGAGGAGGAGGAGGAGGAGGAGAAGGAGTAGGAGTAGGACGAGGAGGACCAGTACACACCCAAGAGTCATCGACGATGTTGGAATCACCCCTCCCTCCAAGTTCCCTCGCCATAGGCCCCCATAAACATTCAGTTCCATTGAAAGAACTGCATCGTTGGACGACAACCTTTGGAAGACCCTCGGGATTCCAACGCCACCGAATGTTGCGCCTTGACTATCCTAAATCGTGCCAGAACGCCATTCCTGGAATGTCAACACCGCGAATCCACGCAACTGTTGCGCCCGCATAGTCCTGCATCTTTCCACACCATTTCTGGTACCTTGATCATGGGAGACCGTGAAACTCTTGTACAATGTATAAACGAATGTGCGCGGCGGGAGAACCGCATTTTGATAAGGAGCCGCCCTCAATACGTGAAGCTCTTGCAAATTTTAATGCGCGCGGCGCAAAGGCGAGAACGACATTTTGAAAACGAGCCGCCTTCAATCCGTGAAGCTCTTGCGAATTTTCACAACGAATGTGCGCGGCGCTGAGGCGAGAACCACATTTTGAAAACGACTCGCCCTCAATCCGTGAAGCTCTTGCAATTTGTCGTAAACGAACGTGCGTGGCGCTAAGGCGGCAACCGCATTTTGAAAACGACCCGTCGTCCATCTGCGCAGCTGTTGCCAATTTTAACCTTCACAATCATGAGTGGTGAGAAGTCTCAAGGGAAACGCCCGGCCCGCCCAAAAAACTGGCCTCGGGGTGCGACAGGAAAAACTTGTTTATAAAAAAGAACTGAAGAAGAGGAACTGAATTACGTCATCCTCGCGGTTTCCACGACGCTCATGGGCAGCGTTCGGCATAGGCCCTGGCTGGCGCGTCCCTCGCCCTCCGGGAATTGCTGTCGCCAGGTGGCTGGGCGCCAAGCATGGCCGTCCCGGGGGGGGGGCTGGCTAGCGTTGGTACGACGCGCTGGCGCCCAGTACAAAACGCTGGAGCCGCCTTCGGCCAAGAAGCGAAGGATGAATACGTGGGAGGAGCGCTCAATTGTTCAATTGTAAATTGGCATGTGATTCAGCATCTCAGCCAGCCCTCCAATGGAGGTGGGCTCGAGGTAGAACACAGCTTGCAGTCAGTTAGCTGCCCAATGCCCCCATCGACTCTGGCATTCGAGCATCTGGTCTCCTAGCTCAGGGGTCACCGCGCCTTGGATCTGGCGAACAGACGGTTCTTTCTGGGAGTCGCGCGACGTGACTATATAGCTTCGTTAAGCCGGCGCGACGGTGCATTCAATTACGCGCGCTCTTTGCTGCTGAGACGCGTCGGCGTCTTATCCGCGCAAATGTTTATCTGGGCCGAACGCGGGGAAATGCGCGCGAAGGCTTACGTCGACGACAGGCTGGGGGGGCGACAGCAACGACCCCCCCCCGTTGCGGGCCCCTGAGCCGCCGAGCCTTTGCGCATCAGCCTTCGGCGCGCTTCGTCAGAGCGGGCCAACCCCGACAATATGTTGCAGCGCGGCCCGTCCGAATAGTTCCCGCTCCTGCCGCAGAGGCTAGGGGTCGGCTGCTCAACGATGCCCTAATTGATCCGAAAGGCCCACGGGGTACCCGGCGCGGTTCGCTCAGCTGGCGCGGCCCTTCCCGACAGCCCACCTTCGACCTCGCCCCCTTGGAGCAAACTGCCAACCGCCGCTCCAGTTCCAACGCAGCCCGCGCCCCGGTCGCAACGCGGCCACCTTCATCGCGGTCTTCCACTGGGCGACGACCAGCCCAGTGACCAGAGCTCTTGTTCTGCCAGGATGGCGACCCTTGCCAGGGCGCCGTAGAGGAGCCGCCGCATCTTCGTTTCGCCGCGAGTTCGGGCACGCACGCCCCTCTCCATTTCTTTTCAATTCCTGTGTTTGTCCACTTGTTCGCGCGATCGTCGCCGGGGCAGTGGGAACTGTGCCTCTTGGAACTGCTGCTTCTCCGGGGCCCCCGCTCGACCTCGGCGCCAGTTCTCCTCAAACAGCGATGTTAGCGACTTGTTCGCCATCTGCTGTCGTCAATTTCCCAATCGCAATCCCCGTGGTCGCTGTCTTGCCCGGGCTGTCGCCCGCCGCCGCCGGCGCCCGCGGCAGGGCTGCAGGCGACTGGGGCTGGCAGGCTGCCTCCGGGGTGTCTGCGCGAGCCATCCTGGCTCCATGGGAGATTGCCATCGACGCCTTGGCCGCGGCGGGGCGCAGCTCCTTCGACGGGGCGCGCTCCACTGGGCCAGCCGCGATAGTTTCCAACTTTCCTCAGGACTCCAATGTCCGGCGGCTCAACCTCAGCGTGCGCGCCCGGGAGGGGGGCCGGCATTGGCCCCCCCGCGGGGGGGGCCTCGCCGCGGGGGCCTCGCCGGCCGCCCGGGGCACCCGCGGCGCGGTGCGCGGCGGGCGAGGGGGGCCAAGAAATCCGCCAGGAATAATCAATCACTTTATTTTTGCCCCTCGGGCCCGGGGCAAAATCTGCGGGCCCGCCGCTCGGGGGCCCCTGGGCAGAGCCCGGGGCGCCCCGACTCTCGGCGGGCTCGCCGGCGCGAGCGCTGCGGCGTCGATCTCGATGGCCGGGCGACGCTTGCCGCCGATGCTGACTTCTCGTCTCCGCCCAGGGGCGCGGGGAATAACTGCGATGTCCGACGAAAACGAAAGGGGGCCCTAGGATCGAGCCTCTCGACCCCGCCCTCGGACAAATCTTCGTCGTCGAAAATTGACCCCCAATCGTTTCGCAGGTGCTCGGCGGGGGCCCCCCTCCCAGCGCCATCCGGCGCGCGGCGGCAGCGGGGCCCCTCCGGGCCCGCGAGCGACAACCCCGCGCATCATCGCGATGATTCGCCTGGGCCGGGGCGGCCGCGGCCGCGGCTGTCTTCGCGGGTTCGGGGGGGCGCGGGTTCAGCGCGGTGGGGGCCTGGCCCTGCCAGTGTGCGAATCTGTCACTCAGACGACGCCGGGGCCCCAGATGGCGCCTCAGCTTGACGGACAGGTCCGCGTCGATTTCTCTTCTGGAACACACTTGGAGAGGGGGCAATCGGGCACTTCGCCCCTCGTTCAAGGGCCCTCGCGGGGCAGGCGCTCGGGGGTCATCGACGCGCGCGAACGATGGGGAAGAGCTTGGGCTGTGAATGGGCGTGGCAGCTCCTGCAGCTCGGGATCTCGGCGAATCCCTTCGGCTTCGCGCGCCCCTTCGCAGCGTCGCCCCCAGTGGCGCCCGGCATCTGGTGGTCATGTAATGACGCAATCAACGGGGAGACAGGGCTTCATATCTTTCCAATTCGCTGGCCAAGTTCCCCTGGGCAATCGGACCCGCGTGGGCGCCCCTCCTAGCGTCGACGGGGCACGTGCGTGGCGCGCGGCAGCTCGCTGTGTGCCGCTTCTGGGGAACGGCCCGTGCGTGTCCGCAGCCCTGCTTGCCTGCGTTGTAGCAGCGCTGCTCGACGGCTCTTGGATCAACGCCACTTGTTTGTTGTGGTCCTTGACATCAGATCCATCGAATGCTACTCTCGCGCGTCGCACTTTCTATCGGGATGCCCCCAAGGCGATCCGGGAGACTCTTCCAAGGGGGAATAAAACTGCTGTCCCACGTGCGTTGTTGTGCCCTTGGTCATCTTTAGTGTGTCGGACCTTCCCTCCTCAAGTCGAGGGGGTCGCCGTGTTATTTCTTTTGGCGCCACCTTCGTAATCGTCTTGCACGAATCCGACTTTGAAGGTAAGGGTCAGCGTGGTTTTCCTGGAGCTCGAATGTCATGCCTCTCGGTGTGGGAGAACGCGACCTGAGGTCATTTTAACTTTATCCTCTCGAGGTGATTTTCTTGATGCTGGTCGTCGTGATAAGGATCCCGTGTCGGGGCGCTGCAGCTGCCGTGGCGCTCTGTGTGACGCTTGTCGTCGTGCTGTTTTCCGTCATCGGGTGGGCTTCTCGCAAATTCCTTATCACTTGCTTTTGAGATCTGACATTTAAGCATCATCCTTGCTCTGGTATCCTAGCTCAGGTATCCATTGTCTAGGATATTGCTAACGGAAGGATCATTCACGAAGCATGCGGCATGGCTATGATAGATCCGCTACGCAGATGAGAGCGGATTATGATACGCGGGCGCTGAAAGAGAAACGCGCGCACCGTCCTACGCATCAGCGCCCCGTCCTCGCAACTGTTGACTTGAGCCAAGCGCGCGCGGAAACACGGGCGCAGGCTTGCATGAAAGACAGGTCGGTGGAACGAAAGTAGCGACTCACTTTTCGCCCCTTGTGCTTCTCCAGAGATGAGATTCCGCCACCGCTCTCGTCGTGAAAAAACAGGACGGGCGGTTTTTGACAATCTTCGGCCTCCGGGGGCCCTGGGACAATCCCAAAACGACTCGGGATGAAAAGCCGGTCCCGCAGAAGGGGTCCAGACCTTTGCGGAGGGGAGACCGTTGGCGGCGCGCACCAAGGGGTATGGGGGAGAGAGGATGGCTTCATAGAAGCAGGCTGTTTATACAAGGCGCCAGCTCTACATGTATAGAGGAGGCCCACGCCTTCTGAGAAGCAGGGGTACTTCTAACAAGCGTTTCCCCCTCCCCCTACCCCCCTGTTCGCGTGGCTGACAGGAAGGGAAGAGTTGACCTGCTCTGGAAGGGAAGCGGTCAAGACTCCTCAGGAATTCTAAGGAATCTGGAGGAATCCCCAGGAGGCCCTGGGAATCCTTCGGAATCCTGGGGCTTCCTTTCGGATCCGACGGGCTCCTCAGGACTTCCGTGAAATTCAAAGGAATGCGAAGGAAGCCTCAGCAGTCCTCAGAAATCCTCTCATCCTCCTCATCCTCCTCCTCCTCCTTCTCCTCAGGGTGACGGAGGAGGGATAAAGGAGGAGGGAGGAGGAGGAGGAGGAGAAGGAGGAGGAGGAGGAAGAGGAGGAGGAGGAGGAGGAGGAGGAGGATTCCTACAATCGGCGACGCAACAACACGGACACGAGGAGGCGGGGCTGGCTGCACGGCGGCCCGCCTGTCCGGCATCCCGTGGCGGCAGCGCTGCGTCAACCGGTACTCCCGGCCGGCCTGGGCGCCGCCGGGAGGGGCTCCGCCGGCGGGGAGGGTCTTTCTGCTGCTGCTGCTGCTGCTGCTGCTGCTGCTGGTCTTCCCTCGCTTCTTTTTCCTCCCTCCGCCTCCCTCCTCCCTCGCTCTCCCTCCTTCGCCCTTCCCTTCCCTCTCTATCGTTCCTTGCCCCATGCCTCCCGTAGCCCTGCCCCCCCCTCCCCCGCTCTCTCCCCTTCCTCCTCTGCCCTCCCCCCTCTCTCCTCATAGCCCCGCCTTCCTCCTCTCCTCCTCCTCCTCCTCCTCCTCCTCCTCCTCCTCATCTCCTCCTCCTCCTCCTCCTCCTCCTATGCTTGCTCCGTCCTCCTCCGCCCTCCTCCTCATCCTTTTCCATCATCATGGGCCTCCTCTTCGTCGTCGACTTCGTTGTCGTTGACGTCGCGTCGTCGTCGTCGTTGTCGCCGCCGCCGCCGTCGTCGTCGTCGTCGTCGTCATCGTCCTCGTCGTCGTCGTCGTCGTCGTCGACTTCGCTGTCGTTGCCGTCGCCGCCGCCGCCGCCGCCCGCGCCGCTCCGCCGCCAACGCTGGCGCCGGCGCCGTCGTCGGTTCCGTCGTCGGTTTCGTCGTCGGTTTCGTCGTCGTCGTCCTCATCCTTCTCATTCTCCTCTTCCTCCCCCTCCATCTCCATCTCGTGCTCATCTGCACTTCCTCCCTCCTCCGTCGTCGTCCTCCTCCTCCTGCTTCTCCTCCTACCTCCATTCCTCTTCCTTGTGAATAACTCCTCCCTGTCGCACCACCAGGCATGTCCGCAGACTGGCCTGGGAGCTTCGTTTGATGCATACTCACAATTTACGATCGCAAGCCTTCAAATAGCATCAATGACATTGCGGGAGGCCAAGTCATTCTCAAATGTGGCTATCGCCGTAACCTCGCGCGCATTCGTCTTAACAGCTTGCAGCAATTGCACGGATGGAGACGGGGCTCCTATCAACATGGGGTTCTCGCTGCAGCGCCACTCACACCTATATGAATAAAGCTTGCAATGCCTGCAGGCACGGAGGCGGGCTCCTTTTCACAGTGGTACTCTTGCCTGAACCTTCCCATAGACATACAGTCGGGGCGTTGACCTAAGGAACCCTAAATAAGGAACACGGCCTCTTTTTCCCATAAGTTAAACTTCGACTTCCCATGGAACACCTAAGGAAAACAGAAGGCAGACTGTAAAACAATCAAGGAACACCGAGCCCCTGCCCAACGAAAAGGGATCCTTCTTCAGCGCCCCGACTGTACACAACAACAACAACAACAACAACAACAACAACAACAACAACAACAACAACAACAACAACAACTGGAAGCTTGTGCAGAAAGTGTGCGGATGGAGGCTGGGCCTTTTTCTAAACAGGGTTGTCGCTCTGGCGCCTCGCGGGTGGAACAGCTTACAGCACTCACAATCACAGAGGCCTGCCCCTCCTCCTCCTCCTCTCCTCCTCCTCCTCTCCTCCTCCTCCTCCTCCTCTCCTCCTCCTCCTCCTCTCCTCCTCCTCCTCCTCCTCCTCCTCCTCCTCCTCCTCCTTTCGAAAATGGGCTCCCGCCTCGGCGCCGCGCACTCTCGTCTGAAACCCTTCCAACGGTTGCAAGAAGGGAAGGCGTGTCGTTACCAGCATGGGGACGTCGTTCGAAACTTGGCCGCATCTACCCGCCAGGAGCGTGAACGTGTGTGCCGATTGCGCGGATGCAGGGCGGCTCCGTCTCAAAACGAGGCTCTTGCTTGCAACCTCCTCAAATTTCATGGCCAGAATCGTGAGGTTGTGAAGCTGTTATACACGGATAAGGGTATCATCTCCATTCCAAAATTGGGCCTTCGCTGGACAGTTCGTCAAACTGTATGACCACACCTTGTCGCACTCCGTACGCCTGACTAAGAGGATTCCCAGTGACACATCTTCAAAACTGCGCTCGCGTCTGAAGGGAGGCCAATAATGACTACCTACCAAACAACCCCAACCCAACCCGAAGACCCGAATTTCGCCCGAATTCCGGGTTGGGGGGTACGGGCTTCATGTCTTCCCCGACCCCCCTCCCTACTGGAAATGGAGGGCAAGTCGGGGCCTTCGGGTTGGGTCGGGGTGGTTTGGTGGGCGGTGAACTAAGGCCCATGTCTTTTAAAGGGGTGCTTTTTGCAGCGATGGGAAAGGCTTGCAGGGACATGTGGGGAGGGAACTTGGGCCGGACGGGAGTGTGTATGGCAGCGTCGTTCTTGCATCCTGGGCTTTCTCTGGTCCTCATCCCTCCTCCTCTTCCTCCTCCTCCTCCTCCTCCTCGCTCCTTCCCATTTTCCCCGAGGATTGGCGGCGGCCTCCCTCTTCCCCCCTGCCACTCGGAAATGGACGGACCCCCCTTTAGTAAAACGTGGTTTAGTGAAAACGACCTGAGGCCCAAACCTGGCGGGCGCAAGCCTGGAAAATAACGGCCACGGCGCCCTCTCGAGAACCGAAAACGGACAATTCACTAATCGACGTGTCACAGTTGAAGGTTCTGTCCACCCCCGATCCACCCGTATCCCTCCTTTCCCTCCGGCACGGAGGATGGGGAGTGGTGGGTGGAAAGGTGCGGCGCAGGCTGGCGTCGGCTGGGGGTCCGAGATGGCCCGGCACTTCTTCCCGAGAGCAGGGAGGTGTGGTGGGTTCGAGGCTCTGGGTTCGCGCACTTTCTGTTGCATTTTTCGGCCTCTGGGGGCCGTGTTCGAGCCCCGGGTCCGTCGAAAACGGATCCGAGGCTGAAGCATTGCACCAGGTGGACCCCGGGACGGGCCCGGGGGGACCGGTTTTTTAGCGGACGTACGCTGATCCCCCCTCCTGGCCGATGTTCTCGACTTCCATCCAGTTCGGACCCCCTGGATGCAACGCAAGGCTGGCCCCAGTGGGGCAGAGCAGCGAGGAACGAGGCGGGACAGGAAGAGGAGGGGCAGGAGGAGGAGGAGGGCCAGGAGGGGTAGGAGGAGGAGGAGGAGGAGGAGGAGGGGGAGGAGGGGGAGGAGGGGGAGGAGGAGGAGGAGGAGGAGGAGGAGGAGGAGGAGGAGGAAGAGCCGAGAATCCTGGGGCTCGCCGCCGACCGTGGGGGCCCTCAGAACGTGTCCTGGAGGTCGACGCTGTGAAGACGTGCGGACGGGGGAGGGCGACAATGGTGCCGTCGATCTGAGGCTCGTCAGAGATCCCTCGTGGCTCTTTGGGGGCTCCTCCTCCTCCTCCTCCTCCTCCTCCTCCTCCTCCTCCTCCTCCTCCTCGTCCTCCTCCTCCTCCTCCTCCTCCTCTGGGCAGGGCCTGCCGCCTCCGGCCTGCGCGGCAGCAGTGGCCTCACCCGGGCCGCCCCGGGGCCGTCCTGGAGGCGAGCGCGGCCGCCTCGGAGGCAGTGCCGGGAGACGCAAACCGCGACGGGAGGCCGGCGCGGAGCGTCCGGGGAGGCCTGGCGAAGCAAGGGGAAGGACCCGTCCACACATCACTCCTGAGGCCGCACACCGATGGGCGGGGTGGACCTGCTCTGTCAGGGGAAGCCCCTCCCCGCGGGTCTGGGTGGCGGTGGCCGCGACACGCGGCAGCGTCCAAGAGGGCCCATCCCTCACACGCAGCTTCAAGTAGTCGACGCTGGCCTCCAGTGCGGCGCAAGATAGCGCTCACTTTCGACTGGAATAGCCTCCAACATCCTTCCAACAAGGTTCCAGATTACCCTGATATGACTCGAGTCACCCATGGAGCCTCCCAAAGATGCCACCGACATTCCCGGACTGTCGAAACACACTGAAACTGGTTCAATTAATTTTCGACTTGACGTGTTTCTGCTTCCGACGGACTCCCGAGCCCTCACGATGTCTCCAAGACGGTCTGACGAAGGAATTCGAAGAGTGCCAAGGGGTCCCAAAGGCCCCAAGAAGCATCCCAAAAGAGTTTTTCAAGAGGGTTCAACACGTGTTTTTGTCAGGCTTCCATGAGGGCGAATGCGGGGTGGGCAATTAAGGACACCATTAGTTGACCGACGGCCTCCAGGGTGGCTCCAGAAAAACCAAACAACAACAAGATGACCTCAAAAGAGTCTCCAAGAGGGCCTCAAAAACTCACACACGGCCCCGAAGAAATCGTCAACATGGCAAGCCACCCCCGTTACCCTTCTCACGACAATCCGCCTGGGAAGCGTTCGTGGATAGGGGTTTCGGGAAAACGCGGGGCGTCGGGAAATTCAGCGCAGACATGTTGCGACAATTGCGACGAGTTGGATGTGAGAGGAGAGTGAAAGGAGGAGGTTGAGAATAAGGGGCATAGTGGCCACGAGGCAAGACGGTGAGACATCCTACGTACCCTTCACATCCATCCCTTCCCATTGCGCGGACGGACCTGGAACACCCACGAGGACGTTATCGTACCATGCGTAATCAGAAAAGAGGACGTTGCGGCAGCAGGAGGAGGAGGAGGAGGAGGAGGAGGAGGAGGGGAGCAGGAGGGGGAGATGAAGAACAGGGACGAGGGCGGATGTCGAAACTCGGAGGGGCTGGAGGAGGACCGCGAGGACACGCACGCTCCGCATCGGCCCCGACGTGCCCCCGAGCCACGGGATCGGCACGCCGCCGCCTCGCCGCAGCCCGCGCGCGCCCGCTCCCCCCTACTCCTCCCGGGCTCCGCCCCTGGCCGCAGCGCCGTGCTGCGCCCGGGCCCTCGGCTTCGCCGCGCTCCTGCCCCCGGCGCTCGGCTTCCCGTGGCGCTCCCTGCCCGCCGCCCGCGCGGCGGGGCGGCCCCCCGCCGCGCCGTGGTCCCTCCGGCGGGCCGCGGCGTCGGCCCCGGGCCTGTGCTGGCCGGCGCCCGCCGCCTTCCCCTGGTGAGCCTGGAGGTGCCCGGCCCTGCCGCTGGCCGCCGAGCGGTCCTTGGCGTGCGGCGCGAGCTTGCCGTGGCCCTTGCCGTCCGCCTTCGCCCCGTCCTTCGCCCTCCCCTTGGAGGAGGAGGAGGAGGAGGAGGAAGAAGAGGAGGACCAGCTGAAACCCAAGAGTCATCAACGATGTTGGAACAAACTGTCCCTCCAAGCTCCCTCTTCATAGGCCCAATACAACGGTTCATTTCCACTGAGGGAACTGCCTCGTTGGAAGACAGCCGTTTGAAGACCCTGAAGAATGCCAAAACATTGTTCTCGGGATTCCAACGCCACGGATCAACCTGACTGTTGCGTCTTGACGTGCTTGAAAGGCCATTCCTGGGACTTCAACATCGCGAACCAACGTAACTGTTGCACCCACATAACCCTGAATCCTGCAAAACACAATCTCTGGTACGTTGATCATGGATTCCGTGAAGCTGTTGCGAATTCTATGAACGAATATGCGCGGCGTCCAGGCGAGAGCCATCTTTTGAAAAAAGACTTCTCTGAACCCGTGAAATTCTTGCACATGTTGGAAACGAATGTACGCGGCGCAAATGCGAAAACCACATTTTGAAAACCATCCAGCCTCTATCCGTGAAGCTTTGGCGATGTTTTAAAACGAATGTGCGCGGTGCTGAGGCGAGAGCCACATTTTGAAAACCATCCGCCTTCCATCCGTGATGAGTATTATTCGTATTGGTATCACTAGTACCACTGTTTCTTATTCACATTATTAATACTATTATGGTTATTCGAATTAACTTTATTATCGCTACTACTACTACTACTACTTCTTCTTCTACGACTTCTTTTACTACTACCACTTCTATTACCACGGCTACTACTACTGCTACTACTACTACTACTGCTACTACTACTGTCACTACTACTACTACTACTACTACTACTACTACTACTACTACTACTACTACTACTACTACTACTACTACTACTACGACTACGACTGCGACTACTACTACGACTGCGACTAGGACTGCGACTACGTTATTACGACTACTACTACTACTACTACTACTACTACGACGACGAC